GTTCAGTGAGTTTTTTTACTTGAACTTTAGAAAGAAATTCTTTGTATAAAAGTGAGGATCCCATCCCCTAGGTTGCTTACCAACTATGCACTGTTATAGACGGTAATGCTTGTCTACAGTCTTGGTTGCTACTGGAAGGCGCGTGTCAGGAGATATGGGTATGGCCCGGCCCCAAACTGTTCTCCGTCATTTACTGAAGCGGGTAAGCGACAACATTTGCTGTGAAAAGACCTATGCGATCGCTTACTCGCTACAACAATGGGAGGAAAACGGGTTAGGTGCCGTGCCAAGCCCAGTGATATGCCCCTGCATCCATAGCGTAAAGCATTTCATCCATGAGAGCCATTCAACGAAAAGCGGAATTGGTTTCAGCCATAGTATGCAAACTGGCACTGAGAACTTCTCGATTTGTTACGAGTGCCCAAAAATACCTCATTATCGATAGGTCTCGTTCTCGAAGGACTGCCCTGAACGGGTTACCTGGACCTTGAGGTCAGCGTGAGGGAAGTGTGGGAATACCGTGTTTCCTTTGAGTCAAGTTTGGAGTGATTATCTCTGAGATTTGTGATAAAATGACTGTAACCGATTGAAGGAAGGCGCTCGTTTCTGCTGAAGCGAAAAAATTTCCATGGAAGGGGTTTCCTAAGCTCTGAATTTCAGATACTCATTCCGGTATATAAAGGATCGCAAGAGCCGATAGTTGGCGAGAAACCGCCGTATAGCGAAAGCATTTTCTTTGGCAAAGATGGTATTGGCGATGATCCGAAAGCTTTTCCAGAGGTGAGCATTTTTTCTCTTCTCTGTTCCAAGGGGATTTGATCGACGAGAAGCCCAATGCATTGTGCATACCACCTGAAGTAATGTACTTGCAAGTTTTATGCTTACTATCAGGGTTTTCAATTCATTTGCTTATACGGTAGAGCGAAAATGTTGTTTTCAGGTGCTAGAACAGGATTTCGAGCCTACATCAGAAGAAGTGGCTACACTAGCCCTTATTCGCCTTGCCAAGGAACATCCTACGGCCACTCTGGTCTGTTTGGGACCGCTCACGAATGTAGCACTTGCGCTCAAGATCGATCCTTCGTTCACCTTCAAGCGTGTCGTAATCATGGGAGGAAACTACTATGGTATCATTCTTTTCGGGGTTATCCTCTGAATTTGTCCATAAATTCAAGTTCTGGTAAAAGTTTGACTCCTTACTCTGAAGGGAGTGCGCGATTCGAGTGTAGCGCGAGAGTTCGCCGGAGTCTAGTATTCAGTACATTCAGTTGCGCATCTCAAGGCTATGGCTGCGTTCATCCTTTGCGGCATCGTCCACTAGCGTTTCGAGTGTCTGGCAGCGTCACTGAGTGAGAAAATGTATCGATCTAGCATCTACCAGCGTGCACCATAGACTCTCAGCGTCTACCAGCGTTTCTGGGGCCTGGGAAGTATGGGTATCGACCCGTCTGCCAGTGTGCACCAGCGTCTACCAGCGTCCGGGAAACAAGAGTGTAGTGCGTTCGGAAGGTAGCTGATAGCTGGTACCCTCATAGCGTCATATCTCTCTACCAGCAGCGTGCTGCTTTCCTGTCTCCCTATAAGCTATCTGCTACCCTCCTTCCGCGCCATGCTCTACTCTCCCGGACGCTGGTAGATGCTAGATCAGTAACTGTGCTTTCCTGGCCCCTGAGACTCTCGTAGACGCTGGGAGACGCTGGTGCACGCTGGTGAACCTAGATCGATATCTATAGTTTCCCAGTCGCTGACGCTGCCGGACGCTCGGAACGCTTGTGGACGCTTGTAACGCTAGTGGACACTGCCGCAAAGTATGAACGCAGCCTAACCAATGAGGAACAGATAAGACATATCTCGTCTTTCCTTGGGGACCTCATACGAAAGACTCATCAATCTGTTTAACGCAAACATCCCCTCTATAAGTTCTGAAAAGATGATTTGCTCTCTCATTTTCGCTTGCTTCTTTAGGGATTGGAAACGTGGGCTCAAATTCATCGGCCGAATACAACTTCCATGGCGACCCTGAAGCAGCGTCCATTGTATTCCAAAAGCTGGCTCTGAATCTAACTGTGATCCCATGGGAATCATTCTTCCTGGAAGGATCTAAGGTCTGCATCTATTCTGATGAAAATAGGAGGAAATCTCAGGTAGCATCGTCA